AACTGTATTTCAGTAAATATGTTAGAAACTATATTTCAGTAAATATAGGTTAGAAAATATATTTTAATTGGCATATGTTGGAAAATTTATTTTAATAGTTACAAGTTAGAAACTATATTTCAGTAAATATAGGTTAGAAAATATATTTTAATAGTTACATGTTAGAAAATATACTTTAATAGTTACAGATTAGAAAATATACTCTAATTATAGATTATAGGTTAACTGTGTTATATATATTATAAAATATGATCGAGTTAATAAAATTTAGTAGATACATATTAGAAACTTTCGTTCAACCGGTCCGAAATGATTGAAAGAAATCCTTTTCCATGATCGTGGATGAAAAACGGAATTTCTTCGACCGGCGATGAAAACGGGAGGCTTCGACGGGACGCGCAATTGTGCGATATTGCTTATCGCAGTTTGCACGGTTCTTTATATGACGGAATAATCGGCGCCGGTGCTTTTCTACGATAACGTTTCGTTCAATTACTTGAAAAGGTTTCCTCTGCCAGTGTTATCAGCGCGAGACTCGAATTTAATATCGCGGGAACCTTTTCCCGCGCTTTTTCCCCTTTCGCGCCGTAATAATTGCATCATTTGTCCGTTCTGCCGGGGCAGATAAGCTTTTAAGGGAAATTAACAGAGCTTTTTCGCTGGCCTGCGAGCGTTGTTAATCTTCCGAGATCAGAGACCGGCTGCAGCGAAAGAGGAATTTATAATTTTGTAATTTAATAGAGCCATTTTCTAGAGCATGCGAACTGATTTCCTTCCTTTTGGTTTGCCTTGGCCGCCATTTTTGGTCAGGGTGCATGCCGTTGGTCTATCGGCGATCGTGGTTTCATTAATTTCCTGTACGTTTTAGCTGGAATAATTTTACGAGCAACGCACGCATTTGCAATGCGCGTTATACGCGTGTGAGATCGTTTTATCGAGAATTGAGAATTTGGTATAAGTGTTAATTAGTTTAAAGAACTTCCATTTTTATCAAACATTTATTTTGGTTTTCTTTTATTCACTCTTCTTATTTTTTATTTTATTTATTTCGAACCATAATTGAATGCGAATTAATTGTGATAATTGCAATGTATGTCGAGTACTGGGAAACCTTAATTTCTATTAGTTAAATAGCTATAGTTTATTGTTATTTGAATCACATTAGTATAAATTCAACAAATTGGTATTTCCCAAAAATTATTATCTCGCTTTATCAAACTTATATCGGTTCTGCGTATTTATCTATTTTTTAGTTGATATTGTTTTGCACTGAAGGCCTGCGGGTGTTGATTGATTTGAGGTTAGAAATTTCAGATTGAACGAAGATGCGCGTCAGGAGGGTTCGATGTTTCGCGCGTCTGGTCAGATGAGATTCGCGTTTGATCCGCTTCTAAGAAGAAGAATCGGGTGTTATCTTGATTGATTGATTGATTGTTTGATTGATCGATTCCCATGTACAGTTACTCGGTTCTTCGCACGCCTAATGGGCCACGCGTTTCCCCCGAGATTGTCCGACTGGCCGGGAATCCGCTCCATTCGCTGATAATTGATGAGCAAGTTGTACTAATATTTGTTGGATGGCACATAGCTAGCCAATCTCGAAAGAATAATGACCGCCGCTAATAGAGACGCGTGTTACCCGATTAGAAGCTTTGACAAATGAGACGACGGAGAATAATGAAGTTTAGGACTCGATGAATTTTCGGAATTCTAGGGATTTGCGAGTTAAACGTTTCAAACTTAGAATATGTATACCTGGAGCATGCTCTAATCCAGCAGTACCTGTCTCTTTTTACTGGTCTCGGATTGGCTGTCCCCTCTCATCTTTTTCAATGCGTATTTCTTAAAATCTGGGCCCGGGCGCCCTGTGCCTACTGGTAGTTATACATGGGTGGTATTACAACTTGCAACATATCAGGTTACGGAGGAAAATATAACCGATTTATTGTTAAATAATAGTAAATAAATGAAATTATATACACGAAGAAAATGAACAGAAAAATTGTATACAGGTACAGTGTTTGGTAACGTGTTTATTACTGTACTTAATTATTTTCCCGAATAATGTACTCATTTTTTTTATTGAAGTATAAAAATCACGATCAACAATAAATATCTTTATCGGTAAAATAAAACAAATAGCATCATTGCTATTGTGTCTATCTCATTTAAAAAGCCTTTCCATGTTATATTAAAATGAATAACAATAAATAAATTAAATTATATACAAGAAGAAAATTAACAGAAAAATTGTGTATGGATACAGGGTCCTGAGACTTCTTCGTACGATCCTGCGTTAGAGTAGCTTTCTAAAAATTGGTTACATCTTCAGCAATAGCAGACGCCGTCTCCAGGTTTCGAACGAATAGCTCTGAACGTTAGAGCATGCTCTATAAGCTCCGAGCAGACGGACTTATAATTTCGAGAATCGAGGCCAAAGGTGTTGGGAACAGAGGAACGCGCGGAGTATGGGCTTGAGAACGCGGGAACGGCCGGAATCCAAGAAACACGGGGAATACCCGATAATCAATAGAATCCGGATAATTTTAATTTCCTCCGACATCCAATTTAAACTAAATACTGGACGCTTAAAATAGACGACGGCCGCAGCGGAAATTTGTTTAGTGTTCTCCGGCGAAAGAGAGTCGCTCCGGGGGCTAAGGGTGCTCGAAACCGGCTTCAACCAGCGTGCAACGGCATTGAACGGCATTCAAATTAGATTTAAATCACCGGCGAGATTTGCATGGACGTCGAGATTCTTGAACCACGGGAATAAGAGGACGTTTTCGTCTTTATTCGGACGTTTGAATAAGTTGTTCACCCCTGCGAACAGGGGCACTCTGTGCACCGGGTGGCACGGATCCGGTTTAAAATGGGGGCTATGAATAATTCACGACAGGGACTATTGTTTAATAAAATCGTGGAGCAGCCATTCAATTGGAAACTGTCAATGAAGAAATACAAACGAAGATCGACGTCTCTCTTTCTCTGGTTCGCAGAGTCGTAATAAGCGAATTATGGTCTGTCTACAGGGTGGGCTGAAGCACTTATCCCCCTGACCCTCCGCCCCGCGCAAAATAGTTAAAATAAAATTTATCCTTCGTTCCTTGTCCTTAAGTTTAACGAATTAAAAAATATCGAGAATGTTCCACACTGTTGTTACGATGGAGAACGATTTACAATTAAAAAGTGTCTTATTAAAAATTGAGACGGCTGTTTAAGATTCAAGCTCGGATTGAAATTAGTACCACAATGCACCGCACGACGCACAGCGCACCGAATCAGGACAACTAACGAACAATTTGCTGATTCTTTTCGATTCGAAACTATAGTGACCCACAAAAGCGTTCGTACACCTTTTAAGATACAGTAACCATTTTAAAACTGAACTAAATGACTTGAATTTTTGTTAGATGATATGCTAGTATACTAGACGATGACTGAAATGATTTCTTTTTTAATTTTGCTATTACTTGGAATGACAAAGAAACAAAATCTTTACAAAGAAATAAAAATCTTTCGTGTTTTTTTAACTTTTTTTATTTAAGCCTATAACGAAAATTTAAAAAATGTCTTTCGTAGATCTCAGTATAGATCTCGATATCTACAAAAGGCATTTTTTAAATTTTCCTTATAGGCTCAGATAAAAAAGTTGAAAAACGAGGGTTTTGATCTTTTTTCTTTTCATTTCAAGTAATAGCAAAATTTAAAAAAAACCATTTAAGCCATTGTCTAGTAGACTAGTCCCTCTGTCATCTAAAAAAAATACAAGTCACATTGTTCAGTCTTGAAAAAGTTACTGCGTTTTAAAAGGTGTACGCATACTTTTCTATGTTTCTTTTGATTTCTCAAAATGTGCAGCATGTTGTAATTTTTCAACAGACAGAAAATGTATGCGTCGAAGAGAGTTAAACAAAGTTTCAGTTCTCGGGGAGTTCGTCTAAAAATCCGTTTAAACTGAAAATCCGTAATAAATCAATAATTTATTAATAAATATCGTTCTCTTGTACCGAAGTATACTATAACTCTACTTATAATAACGCCATACCGAAATTGCTATCAATGTAAATAAAAAAATTCACTTAATACCCACTTAATTTATTTATATTATATACAAATAAAAAGACCACCAAAAAACTCCATCAAAGTTGCTCTTCATCATAAACAGAGCGAAAGTTGTTAACGTGAGATTATAAATCAACGCGAAGCATTTCCGGTCATCCATCTTGTCGCAGCCCACTTGTCTATCCTCTATCTATCCCCGCAAGTAAACTGCAGGCATCAGTTTTTACCCAAAACGTTCCCCCGGGGAAACAAGAAAGAAGGTCCTCTAACCAAAACGGTTCCGTTTCAGGTGACAGGTGCGCGATATCCCCCTCGTCCACCATGCCGGGAGGCCATTAGTCAGGGTCAATGGCGAAGAGGGTTCCGTGCCGGCGTAGACCCTGAAACGTCCTCGGCCCGAGCCGAAGCGAAGGCTGCCACCGTGGGACGTTTCGAGGCGGGTGACGAAGTCGGGCAACGGGCGAGAAGAATCGGAGACGAGAAGGTGGCTCCGGTGCCAAGAAGATGCGGGCGTTCGCGTGGCCTGGCAGCGTGACTCGCGTGACCCTCACGAGCGATGAATCGGCGGTCAGCGATGTTGGCTCACGCGGACCCGAGAAGAGTGGTAGCAGAAAGAGTAGCAGCAGCAGCGGCATCATCGGCGGCAGCGGTAGCGGTAGCAGCGAGCAGCACCGATTGGTCGGCGAGAAAGAGGGCGCGGGGAATCCCATCGGCACCATCGGCTGGGCATGTACGTCATCTACCCGGCGGACGAGCTGCTGCGTTTCTATGAGAATCCCGACCGTGATCTCAGCTCGGTGTTGACTGACGAGCGCCGGGCTAGCTGTCGGATCCAGTTGATCGCCGTCAGCGAGAGATCCGAGCGAATCGAGAAGGATCGCAAGACGAAGAAGAAGAGGAGGAGCGGCGAACGAGCCGCGACACGTAGAACAGGCGCCCGACGCGGCAGCGGCGCTCGGAATCGCGAGAACAAGGACACTCGTCCCCGGGACGCCAGGACTATGCAAAACAGCCGGGGCGCCGGCGACGACGCCGCCAATCCTTTGAAGGACCTCACGCAGCCCGGGCTCAACGAGCCCCTCAAGCAGCACAATGCCGCCACGCTCAAGCTCGTCCAAACTGGTGAGAGTCCTCTTTACATTAATCCTCTACTTCTAGATCGGATGAGCCTTCTAGGTCGGCGAACTGGTCATTCTAGGTTCGATAGACGGCTCGGCACACGGCTGTCAGATTGTGGCGCCTGAAACGGCGATTTTTTATAACTCGAAGTTCCCGCCTTTATAGCTCAGCTCCTTCGCTGCAGATGGCGTTGTACGTGCTTAATTCTAAAAAAATGCAGGGTATCTAAAAATTATGATATTTACGGGAACGAGGGGTTCTTGAGATCATTTGAAGTAACTTTTTCCTTTGCGCAAAAGCAATCCGCGGCTTTGTTTACGAGTTATTAACGAAAAACGCTGACCAATGAGAAGCGTGCTCGTCTGGCGCGAGGCGCCGCCTGCTCGTTGGCTCCGCCGCTACGAGCCAACCGAGCTCGCCTCTCATTCGTCAGTGCTTTTCGTTAATAACTCGTTAACGATGCCTCGGGGAACATTTTTGTAAAGGAAAAAGTTACTTCGAATGACCTCAGGAACCTCTAATTTCCAGGAAGTAACATAATTTTTGAACCTCCTATAATATGTCCAATACTTGAATCAGCGTGCATCACGGAATTTAGAACATATATGTTTATTTGTAGACACGGGTTCAGCTAGTTTGACTCTTATATAATATACAGGGTGTCCCATTTTAATCTCCCAGGGCAAATATATATTGCGCAAAGTACGGAATAATATGAAAGAAATGTTTTAGTCAGAAGTTGTATGATTTCGAGGGGGTGGTAAATATCTTGGAAATATCTATATATTTATTATATATATATTATATTTTATTTATTATGTATATATATATATATATATATATATATATATATATTATATTTATTATATATATTATATATTTATTATATTTTTATTATATATATATCTATATATTTATTTAAATTAGAACCTGCATTTCTATTCCATATCGTTGCAACGGGCAGAGAAGTACACTCCCATCCAAGAGTATCAGGACACTCACAGAAAATTAAATAAATTTGTAGTTGTTGACAATCTGTAACTATAAAAACGAGCCGCAAGGCTCGAATAATCGTACCTCCTCTTTCTAAAATTTTTGTGCACAATCTGAGGGCCAATTAGGAAGAATTTGTTGTACTTGAATGTAACATTTGCGTAACTCCTACGTCTTCTGTAGCACAGCTGATTAAAGGTTTTACTTAAAAATTCAAATATCGCCATTTCATTTGTAACAACCTAATAGAATAACAAGTTACCGTGCTGTTCGGGGAATCCCCTAACCTCTATGTACCAAATGGCGGCGCCACATGTCGGCGACATTTATCCCCATAGGCGAATAAATCCCTTTTGCAGTTGGATTTGCATCAGCTTCGAGAATTCGATATGGCATGCTAATATTCAGACAGATATTCTAATGTTGGGAATTATATCTGTCGCGTATCGCATATGAAAACTATTGCGCGAGCGGATTCGTCGTTTCAATTTAAGCACGAATACAGTAAATTCTCTCTGATTGACGCTCAGATTGTACAAAAAAATGGACAATTTGGGAAGATACGATTAGTTTTATTATTTTTTATTACTTTTTATTTTTTATAGTTATCGATTGTCAACAACTACAAATTTATTTAATTTTCTGTGAGTGTCCTAATACTCTTGGAGGGGAGTGTACTTCTTACATTTAAATATAGTAAATACTCCCTAATTGACGCTCCGATTGTGCACAAAAATGGACAATTTGGGAAGATACGATTAGTTTTATTATTTTTTTATTATTTTTTCTTTTTTATAGTTATCGATTGTCAACAACTACAAATTTATTTAATTTTCTGTGAGTATCCTAATACTCTTGGAGGGGAGTGTACTTCTCACATTTAAATATAGTAAATTCTCCCTAATTGACGCTCAGATTGTGCACAAAAATGGACAGTACTTAGAAACTTAGACGGTTAGTGACATTTCCAAGAAGCGAATTTCATGTTACAGAAATAGATGGCTCACGAGGATTTCATTGACTCATGTTGCAAGGATTACTAGATAACTGGAAGGTCAAAATGCTAATGGTAGTGCGATGGGAGTAGGGTATGGGTGTATGTTGCAGTCGCAGGAGAATAGAACACAGAATTGTATGGAGTACAGTGAAAATTACCTTGCAGCTTGTCTTAAACGGTGTTAACGATTTCATAGTCTTTGTCTACCAGCAACGAATGATATATGAATCCCGGAGCTTGTCGCTTCCGTGTTATTGTTCTTCTTGAACAGCAGGGTTATCGTTAACGGAACATTTTCGTCTCGATTAATACGCGTGCTTGTTCGTTTCATTATTCATAGAATAATTCACCAGACTGACTTTTGTTTAGACGGCTTCGCGACTCCGCGCGAACAGTGTCGCCTATCTCGAAGCACTTCTCAAAAAGTGTCTTATCGTTTACGTGTACGGGTGGCTTCCGATTTGAATACATTTCCATAACACAAATAGTGTAAGCTTTTCCCTTGTCTTTGCCGCTGTAACGTATGAAACCTGGCTAATGCCCCCTCCTGTGTGCCTACACGGTATAAACTGCGTGCAAACACAATAGGCAATTCAAGGGGGGCTTATTGTAGTTGGCCGACAACAGATGGGTTCTGTTAGAAAAGATGACCTTCCCTTCGCCTAACTTTTCCCCTGCGCAATTCCGGGCCGATTGCAATCGATATCGGTGCCGAATGAAACCGTCGGGACTACAGAATATGTATAAATATTCGCAATTATGCGAGCGGATAATTCGTGGAAAATCATTCGAACGATGTCGCATTGGCCTCTCATTCTGAATGCCGCGCGAATCGTTTAATAATTTTTATTCTCCGAATTTTTTCGGACCCGGGGATAACTTGACCGTCTGACATTTCATGCCGTCTGCCGTTTGTTTAAATGAAAATATGATAAGATAACAGCAATAATAATATTAATAATAATTTAAATAATAATAGCAATAATAATAGTAATAATAATTTAAATAATAATAGCAATAATAGTATTAATAATAATTTAAATAATAATAGCAATAATAATAGTAATAATAATTTAAATAATAATAGCAATAATAGTATTAATAATAATTTAAATAATAATAGCAATAATAATAGTAATAATAATTTGAATAATAATAGCAATAATAATATTAATAATAATTTAAAGAATAATAGCAATAATAATATTAATAATAGTAGTAATAATAATAATAATAATGATGATGGCAGTGTAGCAACAAAATTTTATTTCAAACCGTTTGTATAAATAAGGGCCCAATCATGGAACTCGCGTCATCGCCTAACTGCCGTGCCGGTACTGCGAGAGGTTTAATCGCACCGAGAGACTACGCCAATGCGAAAAACTGTTCTACAAGTATTTCCAATTGTCCCGTTGCACAAATACAGTCGAACCTGATTAGCCGCGGCGTGATCAAAGATCCCCGGTAGACGCCTTCCGTGATTAAGGGCTATTTTCCCCCTTATTTAGTAGCTGGTAACGCTGTACGTTTAGGACACCCTGTTGTTTATTATTTCACCGGCGGAATAGGGTGTACACGCTCTCTATCCTGTGTAACGCGCGTCTCGCTTTCGTGCTGGGGGCTTGTAACTCACCGTCACGATCGTCCTCGAGCGAACCACTTAAAAGCTTCGCCTGACTGAACGCGCGGTATTATTCGGAGGGTGAATCTCTTTATCCCTTCAGGATAATTCCAGTTTAATTTTTCCGTATTGCGATCCGCACGAACCAGCTATCAATTTCAGCCGAGAACACAAGCAATTGTTCCAGTCTTTTCACGTTCCGTGGGATCCCGTACATAATCGAATGGTAATTGTAAGCATAGGTTATGAAAATGTTGTAAGTATAGGTTAGGTTTGGAGTAGCTTGGAAACCAAAGCGGCCCGTCATTTTACAGGAAGGAAAAGATTGTTCGAGATATTAAGCTCTGCGACACGTTCAAATTTCATTGAAATTGAAGGGGAATCATTTTCCACATAATCTCGTTAGAGTTGTCTTGAGGTTAGGAATCTATATTTTGCTTCATTAACTATTTATTTTCTAAGAATTACTTGAACTTGTTTTACGATGGAAATTGACCGTTTGCACTCGAAGCTTTTTTTTTATTTGTCAATCTAAAATAATTTTTCTCACTTATAGTATTTCCATTTTATATGACAAAGCTTATCTTATGCGTATGAAATTGTGTCTCGTGACTCGTACGACGGTTATATTTGTAACAATTTTTCAAATCTAGACTTTGACAATATAAAAATGATCTTGGAACGTGATATAATAATTTTAACTCAATTTTATGACTCAGAGTCGCCATTCGAGTGCAAAAGGTTAAGTCCTGGGAATAATTTAGGGTTATGTCTGAACCTATGTTATGGCTTGTGTCTTAATACTGCCATATTCCCATCGGCACGTACAGTTTATACAGCTAATGATTATAGACTCGGAGTAACATTTACATTTAGTGATATTCTAACAGAACACCACATTTGCATATTTCTATGTTAAAAATAATAGGAAAGTGAAGATTATAGACTCGGAGTAACTTCTACATTATTGGTGATATTTAAGCAAAAACTTAACGGAACACGATATTTGCATATTTCTATATTAAAAATAATAGAAAAGTGAAAATTATAAATTCGATGTAACTTTTACATTATTAGTGATATTTAAATAAAAATTTAACAGAACACCATATCTATATATTTCTATATTAAAGCTAATAGAAAAGGGAAATATAAAGGTATAGCTTTTTTGTGGTTTTCGTTTAAATATCAGTAAAAATGTAGAAATTTCTTTGAGTTTATAATTATCCACAGCATTGTAGGTGATGTCTCCTTTAGCCGAGACGCCTTGTATATTAAAAAAAAACACTCAACAAAATATGGTATTCGCATATTTGTATATCAGGAACAATAGAAAATAGAAATATACAAATAAGTTTAGGTATTAATAACAATCTAACAGTTACTTTGATC